TTGTGCTTGCCTATTAGTGTGGCACTCTCCCATTTTTGTTGACCTTAAAAGATCTTTATTTTGTCTTTCTTAATTCTAGATTAATATTTTTACTGGGTATAGAAATCGCAGTTGGAAGTTCTTTTTCTTTCAGCACACAGATTCTATGCTTCCTTTTACCTTCCATTGCTCCTGAGAAGTCAGTTCTGTCACTTCTTTGAAGATAGGTGGCTGCTTTCAAAGTTTGTTCTTTTTACCATTGGTTTTCTTCAGTTTACCATGATGTATCTGGGTGTGGATTACTTTTATTTATTGTGGTTGGGAATTCATTGAGCTATTAGAACTGTGAACTAATGTCTTTTAGAACTAACATCTCTTAACAATTCAGAAAAGTTTAGGTATTCTCAAATATTGTCTCTCACTGATCGACAGTTTTCACTGTATCCTCTATATCTCTTTACACTTTGCATTTTCTACCTTGTCTTGCCAAGCTGCCTTCTTGATATTTTTTTCTAACAAATTTTATAGTTCACTGACCTCTCTTCAGCTTTGTCTAGTCTGCTGTTAAATCTGTCAATTGAATTCTTTTTCAGTTCTAGAATTTTTATGGGATTCTTTTTCAGATTTACTATGTCATTTTTTATAGTGTCTGGTTCCTTGAGGAAAGTCCCACATTTGGCTGTTCTTTGGCCCTAGTGAACATAACTGTTTTGTAATCCAAGTTATTAATAGTAATATCTAATTTTTTTTGTGGAGGTTTCTGTTGTCTGTTGTTTCTGCCACTTTTCACTTATGGGGTCTTGTTTTCTTATGTGTCTGGTTATCTCTGTGTGCTGAACATGTATTTGAAAAAAATATGTAGGAATTATACATATGTGTCTATAAAATTTACACATGCTAGAAACTAGGTAATTAAAAATAAGAATAGGTACAAGTAACATACATTTTGCCAACCGTCCAGAGTAGACAACTCTTCATTTTATAGTAATTTGTTAACTAAATATTGTAAATAATTAAAAGCTACATAGTAAAATTTAATACTGCAGTTCTTCTTGGGCATCAGTACATACCTACTATCAAGTTTATAAACGTGGTTCCTATCAACTTAAATGTAGATCTGAAAATTCATATTCTCTGTAAATGATGTATCTTTTAGTTGGGTGAAATAAAACCTTACCTTACAAACAGAATGTGCCTTGGATGAGCTTGCCTTTAGTTCAGAACTACAGGTCTCTCCCCGACCCCACACATAATCCTAGTATGTGAACACTGTACTCTTATCATATTTTTATTTGTATCCCTAACACTTACCCAACAAGGGACAAGCAAAGAACTGATAACTCAATACCTGATACCCTGAGACAGTTCTAATCAAAATGCATAAATATCTGAACTATAGAGAGAGGAGAAATAGCAAGAGCCAAACCTGAACTGAGAGCTAGTTGACTGGTATATTAAAGACAGAGGAATTAAAAGCAATAAGCATATACAAACTATGTTGCTTGAAAAAGGACACTTTTACTTCTTTAAGAGTGAAAATATAAGGATACCTAAGCCAGTGTAGAACACAAAGTAGGCATTTGAAAATGCTTGTTGAAGAAAAGAGAAAGTGAAATTTAACCTGAGGTCTGAGGAAGGAACAGAAATTAGCTAGGGAAGTGGGGTACAATTAGGGGAAAGAGCTTTCCATGCAAAAAGAACAGTAAAACATTGAAAGATCATGGCTTCTAGAATTGATCTGGGATACAGGAAATAAGAGGTCCGGACTAGGGTAGCAGCAATAGCTTTAAGAGACTCTTAGGAAGCAGAATCCAATTTAGCACTTACTTAATGGGAGGTTAGAAGGAAAGGCAGCAGCCTAGAAGAACTCAGATTTCTGACTTGAATAACTGAAAATACCAGAGAGATTTAGAGGGGAAGATGATGAAGTTCCATTTTGGATGCACTGAATTTGAGATGCTTTTGAGGTATCTAAGTGGTGGTGTCTGCTAGGAAGCTAGACATGCAGGTATACAGTTTGGCAGGGGGTTTGGACTGGAGTTAGCCTGTCGATGATAAAGGTGATTGCCCAGAGAAAGCATGTAGAGTGTGAGGTAAGGACCTAGGTTGAGACCAACATATAAGGAATACCAACATATAAGGGATACATGGAAGAGGAAACTGAGGACAAATGGTCAAATTGAGAGAAGAAAACAAGAATATGGTATCATGAAAGCCAAGGGAAAAGGAAGGAATGGTTACTAGTGTTAAATGCCCTTTAGAGATCAAGCAAGATAAGGAATGATCCACTGGTTTTAATGGCCTGAAGGTCATTTGTAACCTTGCAAGACAGTTCTGGTAGAGCAGAGGGGCAAAAACCAGACTTAAGTGGATCGAGGATAAACGGGCAGTGAAAAAAGCAGAAAATGGATATATGCAACAACATGGACTAAACCTCAAAATCATTATGCTGAGCAAAAGAAACCAACTGAAAGAATACATACTATATGGCTGCATTTGGATGAAATATTTGATCAGACCCAACTAATCTGTGGTGACAGCAAGCAGGTCAGTGTTTGCCTGGGACCAGGTATGGGGAAGAGGGATTGACTTCAGAGGGGCACAAGAGAACTTTTTTGGGGCAGTGGAAATGTTCTATGGCTTTATTGAGGTGGTTATCACACAGGTGCATTCCTTTGTCATTATTCATTGACCTGTATACTTTAAAGGGATATATTTATTATATATATCAATTATACTTCAAATAACATGTTTAAAAGAATGTAGAAAATGAAAATAATTCAAGTCATTGAAAACATTCATTCAATTCGTTTGTGAAGAGGAACAAGAGAACATAGTAGGTGAAAAAGCATTTGAGTTAGAGACCAAGTAAGTTTCTTTAAATGGAAGAGCCTTGAGTTATGCTAAATGTATGCTAAATGCTAATACAATGAGAAAAAGCAGTTGAAGATAAAGGAGAGCAGGTAAGAGACAGCAAAGTGAAGGAATGTGATAAAGCAGGTACCACATCAAAAACCAAGGTAGTAAATTAAACATAGTGCCAAAACCTCAGGATTCCCAAGTTCTGGTACCTTCTCAGCATAGAAAGATTATCATTAATACAATTCATGTTCCAGAAGCAATTCCTTCTATTTCTAACATTGAGTTCGGCTAATTCTTGATGGTAACATTAATAAGAGGTATAGGTTGATTGTATATGGACAGAAATGGCCTGAACAAATCATCTAAACCATAAGAAATAACTTATCTGCTACTTCAGAAGACTGGTAGCAATAGGGCTTACAGAGAAGGGTTCATGATAAAAGAATGAGAGTGTAGTAACAGTAAGATCTTTTTGTCAGGCACTCATGTGCTGTGCCAATGTTTTATGTAAACGTTATTCTCATTTATTACAACCGCCTTGTTGGCATTTCCATTTTACAGAAGAGGGAAGAAGCTCAAGTCAAGTCAACTAACTTGCCAGAATTTACCTACCTGGTAAATTATAAAGATGGGATTAAAACCTAGGCCTAGGTGAGTTCAAACGCATAATAAATATTTACCTTGTTAGGCAATTCTGCCTCAAATACATACCTTTCTTTAAAAATGTTATTTATTGTATATATAATATTGTTACGAAAGAAATCAAAACATCAACCTATCCTAATCCTTTTGCTTCCTTCTTTTTAGCAAAACATCTTCAGATAATAATATACTAATGTCCATGCGATAAAGCAGTGTGTGTGTGGTGGCGGGGCGGCAGGGCGGCGGGGCGGGGGGTATATGTTAAACAATTCTTCTAGCTTTCGATCTGTTCAATTGAATGCTTGTTTGACCTTAATTCTATTATTTTAATGTTAGTGTCTTAGAAGAGATAGGGTTTTGAAATGCTTTTTGAATACTTCTGTTCAGACTGTACTCCTAGCGAGAAGCTGAGCCAGGCATTCCAAACAGTGACTGAATAATGCTATGTGTCGGTCACTGTGGAAGGTGCTTTGGATTCATGAGACATGGTCCTTACCCTTAAGGAGCTTACAGTCCAGGGGAAGAGGTTCTAAGACATGTCTACAATTGTAAAGCCAGAAGAAACTGACATAAACCACAAAGGAGGCACAGATAAGAACTGTTGGTAGTTCACAGAAAAAATCATTTTTATTTAGGACTTCAGGACATTAGAAGCAAAGGGGTCATGTAGCGGACTAGTTTAATAGTTCAGCTAAAAGATTATCAGTTCTTGAACTATGACAGAGGTAGTGAAGATCGAGGTGGGTAAAGGATGTTAGAGCCATTGCAGAAGCAGAAATTGCTGACGGATTGGAGGTGGAGAGTGTGGAAAGAGGAATACAGAATGACACCCAAGGTTTGTACTTGGTCAGCCAGGTGCATGATGGAACCCTTTCCCCTGATAGAAGAAGAGCAATTTGACATGGAAATTAGAAGGCAGAAGGAGAGAGAAGTCAGTGTGCCCATTCCTTCCTCCTCTCCCTGGGCTTCCTCCCTGAGGCCTGTAGTTGAGTGGCCATGTTCTTACACCTACGGGTCACCTCTGTCAGGCCTAGGGAGGTAATAATAGCACCCCACTGTTACTGGCCCATCTTGTTGACCTTAATTCAGGCCACATCTTTATAAATTGCTTCATTAACTCTCCTCAGTAACCCTATTTGAGTTTGCCATCTCTTTCCTACCAGAAATTCAACACATATTTGTGTATTTTTAAAGTATATATGTATAATAAGGTATGTTTGTATATGCACAGGAAATGTCTGGATAGATGCACACCAAACTTTTAGTAATCGTTATCATCTGGTAATGAGAATGGGCAAGGGAGGGACAAAGGAAAAGACAAGATGACTATCATATGTCTATACCATTTGAATTCCTTAATAATAGGCTTAATATTTCTTTTAAAATAATTTTTTAAAAAGTTTTAAAAGTAAATCAAGAACATTAATTGGCCTAATTAAAAAGTTCAGTAAATTCATTGAGAGTAAAGATGAAACCCCCCTAAGAAACACTCAGCCAAAAAAATTAGAGAAAAACCCTAAACTTAAAAAAAATGTTTAATGATAAACACATATTGATAGAAATTTGTGAATGAAGGCGGCATCCAAGAAACCTCTCCATTTTCATGGTTCCCAGCCCTTTCCTCCGGGCTGATGTGGCAACTTGAGACCCACCAAGCCAGCTGACTCCTCTACTGAGCGCTCACCCGTGCTGTGAAATTCCTGATGAAGAGCCACATGTTCACGGACGCTGCGGAGGAGGCAGAGATAGGTGGCAGCTTGGAAATGAAGCTCATGCTGGGCTCTGCACAGCTTCTCACTGGTGACCTAGAGAAGTAGCAAGGTCAGATACTCTATTAACAGCTCAGCTATAGGGCCCCACAGAAAGATTTAATAAACAAGTATTCTCTAGAATGAAAGTAAATTCCAGAGAGGAAATACAAACACATATTTGTGTATACTTAATACATATAGAGAGGAACTCTGTACTTATTGATGACTGGAAAAGCTGACCTCCAGTTAAGTGAAGAAGAGTTTTAAAAAGTTTCACTGAGGTATTTTATTGAGTGACCTCACATTTTAATACTGGAAGAAAGTCGCCTAGTTTCACCTCATTTTACAAATGAGAAAACTAAAGCTCAGAGAGAGAGGCTTGGTTGTTGGTTAATGGCAGAGGTAGAGAACTATAATCAGGTTGCTGATCATTAATGACACCTAAGGCAGCGGTCCCGAACTCTTTTGGCACCAGGGACCAGTGCTCCTATGAGAATCTAATGCCCGATGATCTGAGGTGGAGCTGAGGCAGTGATGCTAGCACTGAGGAGTAGCTGCACATACAGATGAAGCTTCGCTTGCTGGCCTGCCACTCACCTCCTGGTACGCAGCCCAGTTCCTAACAGGCCACAGACTGGTACCAGTCCACAGCCCAGGGCTTGGGGATCCCTGACCTAAAGATTATAATGTAGAAGTTTCTCCCCTTCAAAATGGAGGGCTGCTTCTTATATCACTGTGGACTTTGGTTAATGTGCAATATGCTTTTCTGTCAATGAAAATTTAAACCTTATTTTGCCTGAAAAATAATAGCTGTGTCCTCAGTACTAACAAAATGTAGGTTTTACTTATAGTAGTAATATGCAAATATTCATATTAATTATACTCACTCTCACAATTCCCTTATCCATCTGAAAAACCTGGATTCTGATGACCTTAAGAAGCTGGAAACTTCATAGCCATTCTGAAGTCCTCAGCGACTCCAAACCCTGTTTCTTCTTCATTATAATTAATTTCCAAATGAAAGAAGTTAGTCCACTGTCCGTTATTTGACTAGTTTTGTGTTCTGAGGTGAGAAAGGGGCAGGAAATGTGAGATGGAGATGTGTGCATAGCCTCAAATGACATAAGGAGCCCTGTCCAAGTGTGGATTAATCACTGGCACCAATGCCTACGGAATCCCCTTCTTTGACCTTTCTTTATTTAAATATCTAGAGTTAGAATCTGGAAACTAGAATGTGGTTCAAGATCTGCAGATCACATATGTGAAAATGCCACTCATAAGCTGCTCAAAAATAGAATTCATCTGTATAATTAAAAATTTATGAGAGCTCAACACCAATGTCAAACATCAACAAAGGGTAATATCCATTTCTATTATATATGCCTAAATTGATAAGATTTGAAACAGGAATTCTGTGTTAGTGTAGGACAAGAGAAAACTGATCCTGATTCAGCTAGGCCCGAGTACAGAGAGAAGAGTCAAGAATATATATAACACAGTAAATGAATCACAAGAGACCAAAAGAGATCAAATGAAATAGAAAATTGTATTTTCCCTAAGAAGAAAGAGGAGGTTCCTCCCCAATTGAGCCCCTTCAGCCTAGGGAAAGGAGAAAATGGGCATAGATGACTAGTGAGTTAGCTCTGAGCCAAGGAATAGAAAACACGGAACAGAAATCATTCCACATACCCTTCTATGCATACCACGCAGTGGTGTTTCTGGAATTTTTTTTAGGATGAATTTCAGATTTCCGAGGCATTTTATAGCCATTACCTCTCTTAAGGACAATAATGTTGCCTCCATAAGGAGAACTATAAAGATGTCACCTTCTTAAAAAATCTTAGAATGACCCTCCCCACCATTTACAATGTATCACATTAATGTAACTGACAGTACAACCTCATTACAAATTCCTGTCTACCACCTACCTCACCTCATCTTCCTCCACTTCAGCCACCACACCCTAAGCTTTAAACATCCTCAACTGTTAGTTCCTCTCACCTCTAGGCTTGTGCAGCTTCTTTACCTGGACCTCATCTTCCCCAGTCCTAAGTCAAATTTATCCTTCAAGTCCTTGCTGAATGACTTTCCTCCTGAAAGCCTACCCCTTCTTTATATCAGGACTCCATTTTCCACTCCCTGAGCACTTATTCTAAGTGCTTGGTCATATGGATCCTCAGGTGGACTGCAAAGCTTCTTATAAGGCAGGACCTGTGTGCGCCTTATTGCGTCGTTTCAGCTAAGCTCTTAAAAGTCCCTAACATTATGGCCTTTTAACAATTAGCTGAATTTCAGTTCTAACATTTTGCATTCTAACTGCCACGGCTCAGAAATTCAAACATTTCCCTATTCCTACACTGATCAGAACGTTAAGTTTCCTTCCCTAAAGCCCGAGCTGACTCTCCAATTTATTATTTCTGAGAGAGGTTGCAACTTCCCTCCAAGCCAGGTCCGTAACTCCAAAGGCAGCAATTAATGGAAGACTCCTATGTGGGAACCAAGTAACCTAGATTCTAGTTGTCCTTCTAGTGTTTTGTATGGGGCACTGTCCCTGAACCTCAGTTGTCCCATTTGAAAAATGAAACTCCTTTCCATCCACTCTTGCCTAAATGGCATATGGAGTGTGGTTATCACAAAGAAATTTCTCAAGGATGGCTTCCCATGTTCACATTTATCTGCTACAGAAGAGAAAAACGTAGCTGGTCATATATCACGTTAATGTAACTGATAGTACCACCTCATTACAAATTTCTAGTTCCGCCCTACAGGGCACCATTTTTTAAAGTAGTGTGGGGAATACAACATAAGTGAAACACAGTTCCTGCTCTTCAGGAAGCTCCCAATATTCCATATCTCATTACAGTTTTCTGCAAAAACTGCTTCTCAGAATAGCTCTACTGGGGGGCAGGGCAGGGAGACTGTTGGATAGACGCTGTGGCTGGTGACTCTACACCCTCCACCACGTACATCTTTTTTCTTTCCCCACCTTCTACCTCCTCCATTTCACTTTCCTCTGACTTTCCTCTCGGCACATGCGAAAGACAGCCAATGAAATCCTCGGGGACGGCTCCACCCCGAACGAGTTTGCGCCCCCGCCGCCCTTGGTTAGTCCCCCGGCTTAGGCCACCGACCAGAGCGGAGGGCTTGGGTTTCCATGGCCGGACTCCGGGCTGGGCGGGAGAGTCGGCCTCAGAAACGTAGGCGCTGAGGTCCGGCGCTCCCTACCCCTGCCCAAACCCTCTCTCCCTCCCATCCCGGGAAAGGGACGCTGGAGCACCCGGACACTGGCTTCCGTACCCGATGTGCACGGAAAGCCTTCACGAGGTACCGATAGGCCGCGGTGTCGCGATACGGTCGGCCAGTGGCTGCGTTCATGTAGCGCAACTCCCGTAGGAGGCCCCGCAAGGTGCGCGCCGGGGACCCTAGGTTCGCCATTTCCCCGTGCTCCGAGCCTGGTGCCCTATGGGGCCCTACACTTCTCCAACTCCCTCACGCCCCCCCACGCTTAATGGTACGGTCGGACCCTGCCGGCTCCCCCTATCGATTGCAAAGCAGTGGAATGTCCTACTTTCCTTCTCTGCGGAGCTTTATTAATCGAACGCCCAGCGGAGCCCCCAGGAATTAAGGGAAAAGCAAACAAAAGCCGAGTGTAACTGAATAGCCTGGAGAAAAGACGGCGAGAGGAAAGGAGGTTTTTTCCTGACTGCGTCATTTAAGACGCCATTAGCTGGTCGATCTCTCGAATCTCGAGACAATGAAGACCTTGCAGGTATGGGTGTCTATTCGAAACAACACGCTGAGCTTTTTTTTAATTTCTAGGGGAGATAACAAAACGTATTCTCAATTAGAAGAAGAAAATGGACTATGTTGATGCGTGCAAACTGTAGCCCAACACCTAAGCACACATACACTTCTCACTTTTACAAAGTTTGCATCTTTAGCTACCATTGAGTTTAAAAAAAGAAAAAAAGGAATTTTAAATGCTAAAATTACGACCACCCCAGATGGGACTCGAACCCACAATCCCTGGCTTAGGAGGCCAATGCCTTATCCATTAGGCCACTGGGGCTTCTGTGAACGACGTTTACAAACAACGTATTCAATTTTTTCTTCTTTGATACGTCATTGTCCCTTAGTTTCACTTTTAGCCTATCCTAGGGGACCACACCTAGTACCAACGTGAGGGACGAAGCATGCTGGGAGTTGTAGTTCAGAGAACAAAAGGTTGCATCACAGCGCCAAAGGCTTTACCCTCAAAATAGCACCGATGCGCCGGATAGAGAACGGACGCGCGCACGGTTCTGCATTACGCGTTTGCCTGCGCGGCAGTCCCCGCGCCTGCGCAAAAGCGAGCACGCGACGTCTCGGAGCCGACCGCGCTGGGCATCCTGGCCGAATCTCGGAGACTTGCCCTTTGAGCCTTTGCTCCGTCGGGTCTTTACCGGAAACAGCCGGCCCCTTCCGGTGTGCGGCTTTCCGAAGTTAGTTTGCGTTTAGCCCGCCGTTAGGTGGCGTCCGCAGCGGTCATTTTCTGTTTCCGGTTGAAACGCTGAGGCCATTTCCGCACAGCCAGTGCAGTTACAAACGTTTACCCTGTCTTCTGAATTGGCTCAGTGGGAAACGGGACAGCAGAGAGTTCCTACTTAATGCATTAATACTTAGTTGATTAGAACTAATCAAGAGTTCATTTTCTGGTTCTGTACCTAATTGTGTAATTTAGTCATTTCTCTGGAACTTGGAGACCTTAACCCCTTGTTTAAAATCTCAGTGGCTCCCGATTGCCCCTAAAATAAAGTCCAGATTGCTGAACCCTGCCTCAATGACTCTTCCTTATACTCAATCATCATCTCCCACTACTCTATTTCCTGTCACCGTCTCCAGTATCTGAACTTCTCATTGTATTCCTCTCCACACCTTATGTGTTACTCCCTCTGTCTGAAACTTAACCGTTTGTATTAATATTCCTTTTACCTTTTTGGGCTTCAAGTTTCCTTGAGAGGTCTAGGTTAGACACTTCTCTAGGCCTTTGTGGTTAATATGGCAAGGTTAAAACAATTCCCCTAACCTCTGGGCTCCTGTATATCACCTATGATTTTACCTTTTAAGAGGTAGATTTCCTATGTCTCAGCTCCATCATCTTCCACGTGAGCCAGGATGCAACTGCTTAGACTCAGGAATTCCCATTCTAACAGGTCTCTCCTATGTCCCTGTCAGGGTTCACCAACTCTAGCTGTGGCCAGCTTTGAAGTAACCTTTTATATTTTGCCTGGAATTTTGACACTTTCAGAATCAGCAGAAAACTGGTATGACAATGTGAATGAATTACTCTCCCTATTACACTCACAAAATGTTCATTTTTATCAACCTATAATTCACAAGTATCTGATTTTAAAAGGCAAATGCAGGAATTAGGGAGAATGCTATCAATTATTCTTTTAATATAAATTTAACTAGCTTTCTAAGATGTAGTAATTCAAGCCAGCTCTGAGGAAGTGGAAGAATTTATAGGAAGTAGGTCTTAGGTAACTTAACCGTTGATATATTGTGGTAAGAGGCAATAAATAATTCTGAATTCCTTTTTACTGAACTGCCAAGAGACTTTTCTTCCACCTGAAGCCATCTTACACTAAGGTAGTCATAAAATGTTAGCTCTTTGTAGTCACTGGTCTCCTTAGATGGCCTTCCCAACAATCTTCTCCATGTATATATGTTGCTGTTTACATCAAGAGGTGAAGCTTATTTCCCATCTCACCTACCCCTCGCCCCCTTTTGAATCTCAGGTGGCCCTGTGACTAGCTTTGACCAATAGAATGTAGCAGAAGTAACATCCTAGGGCTTCTGTGGAACACCAGGCCTTAAAACTGGCAAGTTTAACTTCTGGCTTCTTATCTAGCTACCATGCAGTGAAAACCTCAAGGCCCGTGGAAGAGGGCCGAGACAGATTCAGAGAAGCCCTCAGCTGAGAGCACTAACTATCCACCACGTCGGTGAGCCATCTTGAAGGTCTCAATCAGTAGCACCCCCAGATGATGACAGTCTCAGCCAACATCGTATGGAGCAGAAAACTGTCCAGCTAAGCCCAGTCAATCCAAAGAAACATTAAAGATAATAAAATGGCTGTTGTTTAGGAATAATTCCACTACGTTTTCAAATTATTGTGCGGCAATCAAAAAACCAAATCAGTCTGGAAAATTTCTTAGAGACGATTTAACCAAACTTCTTAATTTGGCAGCTTTAGAAAATCTTTATAGTCCCAGGGCAGGGCTACAAACTCAAAACCCTACAGCAGAGACCAGTCAGGTAACACAAGAGTGAATCAGGCCAGGTGAGTTCCTACCTCCTCTGAAGGAGCTAGACTTTTCGGCTCAAAATCGTTGTTGCAAAGTAGGAGTGTGGTCCCAGAGTCGCCAGAGCTTTTGATTTTTCAAGAGCAGTTATAAATCCAGAATTTTTACAAAATGCCGTAAGTTTTAAATGTTAGCAATCAGTTACAAACAACCAGTCAAACAAAGCACTTCTGTTGGCCTAGGTTACTAGGGTTGTAAGTGTGCAAACTATGTCCCAGTGCATTTTATAGACACTGTCTCATTTGACCTTCACCAAAAGCCAATGAATGAGATAGTACTCTGATTTTCCCCACTTACAAATATGGGAACAAGCTCAGAGCGGTTTCATGGTTTAGTCCACGGTGAAGGTGGTGTTTGACCTCAGGCACTCTAACTCCAAAGACTATTAAAGAAAAAAAAAATGTAAGTTTAAAGCAGAAAAGAAATTTTTATTAAAAAGATGCTGGGCGATTTTCAGAATTTCCCAGTAAGGCTAGAGATCAGGCTTGGAAGCCACAAGCCAAGAACCTGCCCCCCAATCCTGCTCCAGATTTGGTCCAGTGAAAATACCACCAGGTACAGTCGCTACAGCTCATAGTGCTGACACAATGACACTGGACAGGGACTGGACACCGGCACCAAAGCTGCTGCTCCAGCACATTGCCTATTGCTGGCTTCTCTCCTACTCGTTCCAGAATGGATTAAGTCATTGAGTCATGTTCTGGGATGAGTACTTCTAATTAGCATAGCCTGGGGCATGTTCCCACATCATGGTTAAGGGAGGCTGTGAAAGCAAGTAATTTATCATTCGATGAATTTTTATTGAACATGTGCTATGAATCAGGCACTCTTCAAGATGCTAGGCCAACAAAAGCAGAATCGGTCAAACTTCCTCTACTCGTGAAGCTTCCATTCTAGAAAGTTGGACAGACAATAATGATATAAGCAAGTAAAACATAAAAATTTTCAAATGGTGATAAGTGCTATGGAGAAAAAAAAAAAAAAAAAGCTGGCAGGGGATTGGGATCTGCTGCTTTATAATGTGTTCAGGAAGGTCCTTGCTGATAAGGTGACATTTGAGCAGAAACCCAAGTGATGTGAGGGCATTTTCAGCTTGTGTGTGTGTGTGTTGGGGTGGGGCAATGCCCATACTTTTAAGTGGAGAGACCCTGTCTTTATTCCCCAGCCATTGTGAGGCCACCATATTCTGTCCTTCAAGCTCTCTGAGGGTAAAAAAGTTGTTTTGGGACAAGCTTTCTATGCCCAGTGAAAATGTGGGAACAGATACCTGAGGGTCCAGTCTTAACTCTGCAGCTACAGTTGGTGACTGGCTACCTGGCCATGCATGTGGGAACTGGGGAGAAATTTTGGTGGGAAAGAGCCGGGACTAATCAAATGGGTATATCTGAGAGAGTATACATGTGTAGGCACTCACTTCCATCAACTGTGTACTGTGGTTGTGTGTCCTAAAGCATTTATTTCTAAACGTTTTTGATTTTGTATATCCACAGCTGTAAAACTTTTGTGCCTCCGCCATGTCTTTGTATTTATTTTTAGATAACATACATGTACTACTGAATCAATGTAGTATTATATATACATTCAAAACATGCACAAAATAGAAAAAGGATGTTTTTAAAATGAAATAAATATTTTGAAAATATTTTTATTAACAGTAAAAAAAAGTCCTAATTTTTCTCAGTAAAGATTATTACTGTTTATTTTATTGAAAACAATGTAATTCAGTATCATTATTTTGAAAATCTTAGTTTAACACATTATTTTGGGTAACAGAATCACATAGTGATAAACATTTCTAAACATCCATTTTCAAATTTCTTCATAGCATGAGTTTCTTTTAAAAAGGCAGTTAATGCCTCACTTGTGGTTTTAAAAAATGACTTTTAACTTAAAGGGACCCATTAAGTATGTTCGTTTCTTTCAAAATATCCGCTAGGCAGCTGTGTCCAGCAGGCCGCCGTCAGAAAGAGAAACCACTGCAGGCCTTTCAAGCAGAAAGGAATTGAGTGCGGGGCATTGAGGTGCTAGTGGCACTGTTGGGAGGACCGCAGAAGTTGGGGGACTTTGCCATTGACGTTCAGCAGTTCAGAGTATTAGGAGGTTGCTGCTGTTACCCAGGCCAGAAAAATGCAGGGCATCCCCACTGCTGATCAGAGCTGCCCCCAAGTACTGAGACAGGAGGCTGAC